GCTGTTGTCCCCGTGGGTTTTTTTTTGGGGGGGGCCGGGGGGGGGGGGGGGGGAGATTGGAATCACTTCTGGCTCCTGTGAATCTGCAGCAGCACCCCCCACACAGAGGAGACTGCCCTCAGGTTTCTCCTTTCAGAGTTCTAGGTGTTTCCTTTAGATATTAGTTTTTTCATTGACTCCTGAGGTGTCCAAGCTTCTCCCCTTTATCACAGACCACGGTTCTCTTCCCAACCCCTTTCACTGGCAGAAAGTTATTCTCCTTGTACCTAAGAAGCCATAACTCCTTTTACTATTTGACTTGTATGGGAGTTCTCTGTAACTATCCAGACCTTCTGCCAAATCCTTCTCCAGTATCCATTGTCTGTATAAAGCTGTTCTGTAGCTTTCTTGACTGAGAATCGAAATTCTCCCTCAGAATAGTTCTAATATATTTAAGACAATGGGGTCCTTATTCTTCTCTGTATAGAAGTACTTTTCTGACAATTCCCTCAGCAGCCAAACCCTTTGGCTACTGATCCAGACGTTAGATTTCAGACCAAGACCAAAAGTGTCTCAAAAGGTGAATGAATCTTTTCCGTACAGATCAGCTGTTTTATTTTCTCTCTCAGCTGATGCTGGCTAATCAGAGAGTGAGTAGAGCAGCCAATCACATAAGTTTTTCTCTCCAGGGAAGATTAGCTGTTGAACTTCCTGACTGTCTGACACAAGCAGCATTTTTAAAAGCCTGCTTTTCTTACTCCACCAGCTTCTGGCATTTCACTTTAAACTTGTTTTTGGAGCAATAAGGATTAGCAATCAAACTACATGATTAGCAATCAAACTACATGATATGATTTGTAATTAATAGGATCCAGGTTCCCCAGACCTAACTAGTGTACTCCACAGCTACTGCAGATGCTTTAATGGTCCACAGAGACCTCAAGTGGCTTGGGACCACAGTATGACCAGGAGAGGGGCTCCTGCCTCCCCCCCCCCGAGCAATTTTCCTTTGCAAAATGATTGGGGGGGGGGGTAGTTGCCCCATTGTGGAGCTGCATGTAGTTTGGCCCTTATTTTTCTAATTCAGGTTCAGATTCATAGTATCAGGACTTGTGATTCCAGAACCAAATTCTTTGTTCACATATGACTGCACAATATACACAGGCTCTGTATATTATTTACTGGTGTTTGCTAGAGATCTTATGAGTCAATCCAACATTCAGTTAAATATAAGTACTTGAGTTAAAGTCAGTGGCAATCCTCTGTTTTAGTTAGTGCAAATGTTTGCAATTCCAAAGTAATGGATATTATTCCTTGTTTTAAGCAGGTATTTGCTCGTTTTGTAAGTCTTTGGCCAAAGTTGTTAGCCCTTTGAAGACAGTTTGACTAAACATTTTACTCTGTATCCTTCAGTACATTGTGGAAAATCCTGTTTAAAAACTTGCATTTCTCGCATGGAATTTTCCTTGCTATTTGAATTTGATCTCATATCTCAGCTTTTGTATTTAGTGCTTTCTTACTGTAACAAGAGTCAACTGATTCAATTTTCTAAATATATGCATTTTTTTAAAGCTGAAAGGACAGTCTGGGCTGAATGAGAATGTACCCCTAGAAATCCATCAGGTAAATTGATATTTGATATGGCTAATTAATATTCTGAACTGTTTTCTCAGATTTCTAGTCGTCATTGTAAGAAGAGATGTACAGTCCAAAAGGTGTTGACTCCTTAACTTACACATAATGAATAAACAGAGCAGCTGCAGAGAGAGAGATCTACACACACACACACACACACACACACACACATATATATATATATGAGGGGTGTGTATTCGGGTTATCTGGGCTGGAAAAAAACCCAAAAAATACTTTACTGGTATTTGGGGGGTATTTTTTCAGCCATGTTATTTATCCAGCTATTTGATACAGCCAAGCCCAAAAAATCCTGAAAATGTTCAGGATTTTTCAGGGCCATTAGATAGCTGGCGTTAAAGGTTGTTTAAAGGGACCACAATCCCTTTAAATGCCTAGTTCCAGCTCCTGCCAACCTAGCAGTTTGAAAGCAAGAAATTGCAAGTAGATAAATAGGTACCACTTCAGTGGGAAGGAAGCAGTGTTCCGTGTGCCTTGGTGTTTAGTCATGCCGGCCATATGACCACGGAAATGTCTTCGGACAGCGCTGGCTCTTCGACTTTGAAACGGCGATGAGCACCGCAACCCTAGAGTTGGATTCGACTGGCTTTCGAGCAAGGGAACCTTTACCTTTAATATAGCTATAAAAATTTCCAGAGGTAGGTGTAGAAAAGGATATCCTGAGGTACTGTTGGATTCATTTCCCACCCAGTCTCTTTTACCCAGGGGTCAGTTGGAGCCAGAGTGTGGCAGAGCGGTGCTCCGATAGTGAGGAGGCGAGGGGGTGGGCACATGACCAAGCACCGCCCCTTGCTGTCAGCAATTGCTGGGTAGGAGGAGGGAGGTTGGAAGGGACAGATGGTGGGTGCTCCGCAGGTAAAGACTTCAACTCCCGAAGCGAAGGGGCCAGCACCAGCTGGAGTTCACACAGGGCATCTGGGTGGTCCTAGCATTTGCCCGCCTCCAACCTCACCATCACCGGGGCCCGTGCCTCCGCACAGGGCCGCTACAAGGCGCTCCGTCTCCCCCTCGCCATCTCCACAGCTCTGCATGGGGCCGCTACAAGGCACTCCCGCCTCCCCCCTCGCCATCTCCGCAGCATGCGGCTCTGCGCGGAGCCGCTACAAGGCCATCCCACCTCCCCCCTTGCCATCGCCACAGCCCGTGCCCAGCTACGAGACCCAGGGAAAAGCCTGCCAGCCCACCCCGCACCTTTCCCAGCCCACACTTTATCTTCCTCTTTTCCTCCTTCCTTCCTTCTCTCTCTCTCCCTCTTCCTTCCTTCATTTTCCTTTCTTTCTTTCCTTCTTTCCTCCTTTTTTCCTTATCTCTTTCTTTCCCTCCTTTCCTTCCCTCTTCCCCTCCTTCTTTCCTTCTTTTTCTCCTTCTTACCTTCTCTTTCTTTCCTTTTCTTTCCTTCTCTCTCTCTCTCTTTCTTCTCTTTCTTTTTTTCTTTCTTTCCTCACAGATCTCTGCGTTTCTTTCCCCCCCCCCTCCATAGCTAGCAATCCGAAACAGTCCAGTGGCACCTTTAAGGCCAAGGTTTATTCAGTACAAGTTCTCCCTCTGTGAGGGCAGATCCGCGTATGTGTGTTTCCCCCCCCCCCCACCAGCCCAAAACAGCCCAGCGCCCCATAGCTAGCAATCCAAAACAGTCCAGTAGCACCTTTAAGACAAAGGAAAAAAGGAGAAGCGATGGCTGAGGGGTGACATGATTGAGGTTTATAAGATTATGCATGGGATAGAGCAGGTTGAGAAAGAAGTACTTTTCTCCCATTCTCACAATACAAGAACTGGTGGGCACTCAATGAAATTGCTGAGCAGTCAGGTTAGAACAGATAAAAGGAAGTACTTCTTCACCCAAAGAGTGATTAACACATGGAATTCACTGCCACAGGAGGTGGCAGCAGCTACAAGCATGGATGGCTTCAAGAGGGAACTGGATAAACATATGGAGCAGAGGTCCATCAGTGGCTATTAGCCACAAGGTATAAACAGGAACTCTCAGTCTGGGGCAAATGATGCACTGTATTCTTGGTGCCTTGGGGAGGGAGGGGCAATGGTGGGAGGGCTTCTAGTGTCCTGGCCCCACTGCTGGACCTCCTGATGGCACCTGGTATTTTTGGCCACTGTGTGACAGAGTGTTGGACTAGATGGGCCATTGGCCTGATCCAACATTGGCTTCTCTTATGTTCTTATGTAAGGTTTATTCAGGTACAAGCTCTCCCTCCTCTGCAAGGACAGATCTGCACATCCCTGCCCCAAATAGCAATCCAAAATAGTCCAGTGGAGCCTGAGCAGTGGGTGTTGCCTTCTGACACACATTTGATGATGTCAGGGGGTGTGGCATATGCAAATAAGTTAAGCTCCTGCACCTCTTTTTCTACGAAATGACCCCTGCTTTTACCCATGCTCTCTAACTATAGAAAGCACTTCTGGGCATGTACAAAATGCTTTGAATTAAGAAGCAGAGCGTCCTTCCATGGAACATAGTAGGATTCCCATTCAGGAAATTACTTCCCCCACCTGCATTAATATCATTTTAAGAACTTTTTGGGTTGGAAGGGGATTTAAAATATTTTTAATTTATAATGTCCCTTTATAATGGGATTGAGCTCAGTTATACCCATGATTGCCACTGGACATGATTTCAGGGAATAATTAGGTGCCTCGAGTTCAACTGAAACCTGTGGTACTTACATTTTAATCTTTAACAGGTCTACTCAGAATCCTACTGAACTTTACTTGGCCTTCCTTCCAGGACAGTGCTTTTAGGATTGTACTGTTAATCACTTAAATGGAGCAATGAGCATATTTCCTCAGTTCTGCATTTTTGCTGTTGTTGTTACTATTCCTTTTATTTTCTGGCACAACAAGAGAATTTGAGAGAGTTGATAATGGATTCCACACAATACAAATGCTTAAAAAGGAAAAATACTTGTTTTGGGGTTTTTTTCTCTCAAAAGCATAAAAGTGCTATTTCCCCCACACACTGACACACCTTTTTCACATTTTAAAACTGCCCTGTGGAGCGTCTAATGGCTCCATTGTGAAAATTACTTGTAGCCATGTAAGTAACATGATTTTGAGGATGCAAAAACTGGTAAGGAAGCAAAAACTGACTGAAACTGTTTCTCCCGACGTGCTGCGGTCATGAGCAGAAAAGAGTCAGCATGGATAGGGGAGGCACAGAGTCAAAGAATCATCTCCCAAGAAACGTGAGAATTTTGTAATGTGTCATTTGGCCCCTAGATTCTGACAGTATGAGTTCCAGCCTGGTAAATAATTCTGGTAACACAGAACTCTCTGCTCAAACAACGAATATGACACAGGAGGTTTTCATAAATACATACTGTTGATTTGAATGGAACATAGGCAAGGCATGTCTTATTTTATTGCTTCTGCTCTTTCACAGTTCAGAGGTCATCCACAGTTCAGAGGGTACGGTTAAAGGGGTTAGGGATCTTTAGCTTGGAGAAACAAGGACGGAGGGGTGATATGACAGAGGTTTACGAAATTATGTATGGGATAGAGAAGGTAAAGAAAGAGGTACTTTTCTTCCTTTCTCACAATACAAGAACTCGTGGGCTCTCAATGAAATTAATGACCAGTAGGTTTAGAATAGATAAGGAAGTACTTCTTCACCCAAAGAGTAATTAACATGTGGAATTCACTGCCACAAGACGTGGTGATGGCTATAAGCATAGACAGCTTCAAGAGGGGATTAGATAAACATATGGAGCAGGGGTCCATCAGTGGCTATTAGCCACAAGATATAGATGGAACACTCTGGGGCAGTAGTGCTCAGTATTCTTGGTGCTTGGGGGGCAGCAGCAGGAGGGCTTTTGGAGTTCTGGCACCACTGGTGGACCTCCTGATGGCCACCTGGGTTTTGGCCACTGTGCGACAGACTGGATGGGCCATTGGCCTGATCCAACATGGCTTCTCTTATGTTCTTATCCAATAAGACTAACTTCCTTTGAACCTGGTAATAATTAAACAATTCCAGACTAACAAGGGGAAAGTATTTCTTTCCAATGCATTTAATTAATTTAGTTCCTCCCAGTACAACATGTGACCCAGCAAACCGAATGCTACTCACTTGCCGTCATGCATGGTGTTCTACCAGGAGCTCAGCAAAGTTTGGGGACTACAAAAGCAGGGGGAGGTGGCAAGCTCTTGGAAGGCTACAATATGTGGCTGGTAGATCAGAATTTATGCAGGCCCAGTTTAGAGACTACTTTGCTAGAAGCTGTGAAGATGGTTAAAAGCTTAGATGCCTTCTTAAAAAGGCAGATTTATAGTAGATCTGTCAATAGTTGTTATGAGGGCTAATAACTGAACTTCCATGTTCAAAAGAATTATTTTCCATGTTCCTTCTGATTATTGGAAGATAGGAACTTAACAACTGAACTCAGCAATAACAACTGTGTTCTGAATGGGAACCAATCACTGGACTTGACGGACCTTAGGTCTGATCCAGTAGGGCAGTTCTTGTGTACCTGGAAAGAGTTTATAGTTATCTATTGTCTGTTGACATCCGAGCTATGATAGGTTCCTTGGCTGCTTTCTATACAGCTGAAGGACATCACAGACATTCCCAAAGAATAGGAACCTACCTTATCTCAACTCAGACCAATGGTCCATCAAGCCTAATATTAACTACTCAGGCAGGCAGGGGCTCTCAGGCAGAGATCTTTCTGAGCCATTTTGTGTGAGAGATTTTAATGGGAGACATCAGGAATTGAACCCAAGATGCTATCCATGCAAGGCTTATTTAATGCTGCAGTGTCCTGTTACCCTATGTGAGAGTGTTTCATTGGTCCCAACCTAAAACAGATTTTAAAAAAAAAATTAATCAGCTCTTTAGCTTAAATTAGATATTGTTAATCTTTCTGTAAATTTATATTATCTCCAAAAAAAGGGTCTGTTCCACACAAGTGTTGAAGAACACTTTTTAAATTAAGAGCAATGCTTTCCCCCCTATTTTTTGTTTAAGGGAGGAAAAAAACAGAATGGTAGAGTGTAAAATGCCAAGGGGGTTTCTGTATGTGTTTCAGTATTTTTTGCAATATAAAAGACAACGTTTAGAAGAAATCCAGCCTGTAAATCAACCTGACCTTGAACGTATACCTACCATCGAAACTAAGATTGGTCTGTGTGAGTCACAAGTAAAGACTGAGCAAGAAAGACTTAACCACCTTCGGGAAAAGATGGCACAACTTCTGTTGAAAATTCATCCAGTAAGTGCTGCTGTTTTATTCAAATTTTAGATGTGCCAATGAAACTAGCATTCCTGGTGCTTACCCTTTAAGGTTTGGCAACACATAAGGCTCACTTTCAATACAAAGTTGAGCATTTAAGCCCCAAGTGGCTTTGTTTTTCTGTGTATTTGAGCTATGGCCTCCTCCTTCCTCACCTGGTGTTGACTGAATTTCTCTGTCTCTCTCCCTCTGCCCATTCCAGCCTTCCCTTCATTCTGTTGCACCTCCTTAAACAGTTGGGCCTCTTTGGTGCTGACATGCAATACAAGGGTTGCCAGCTCTGGGTTGGGAAATACCTGGAGATTTTGTGAGTGGAGCCTGAGGAGGACGGCGTTTGGGGAGGTGAGGGACTTCAATTCGGGTATAATGCCATAGAGTTTGCCTCCCAAAGCAGCCATTTTCTCCAGGTGAACTGATCTCTCTCACCTGGAAATTGGTTACAATAACGGGTGATCTCCAGCCACAACCTGGAGGTTGGCAGCCCCATGCAATACTCATCAGGTGGGTGGTTGCTGCTCACCATACGCTGCTGTCAACTGCAGCTGCCATAGCATGAAGGGAAATGTTTATTTGTTTAGGTATTTATACCCTGCTCTTCTATTCAATGGAAACCCAAAGTGACTTACAACAAAAACCTTGTGAGGTAGATTAGGATGAGAGTGACTGGCCAAAGTTACCCAGTGAGGACTTGAATCTGTCCAGTACTTTAACCACTACACTGTAGAGAGGTTAAAAGAAAAAGAAGGAAGGGAAAATAACACTGCCAAGCTATTTGCCATCTTTTTGCTCAGGAGGCAAGTATGTATTGCTAAATCGAAGTTCTTGAAAAAAAATAATGTTACTCTTACTAATGATTCTCTTCACTGTATATTAGAAAAGTAGCTATGCCTTCACTGATTCATTTTATGTAGGATTGGAACCTCTAACCCATTAAACCAGGACCCTGGTCACACAGGAGGTTTAGATCACACCGCAACATCTGGGAAGCAGTGCGCACCCGTCCCCGATCCGGCCCTTTAGGCTGAAAATGCGCATATTAAAAAACCCCTAGAAAAAGGTAGGCCCTACCTGAAACGGTGCAGCAAGCGCGGCTGTGAGATCACCAGTGCGCCCATCTTCAGGAGCAATCGAGGCTCCCGTCCGAACTGCGCATACGCACACATGCGCAGCCGACTGCCTTACGCTCCCTTCCGTGGCTCCCCCCACCCAGCATCTGATCGTGCCGGGGAGCAACTGCGCGGTGGCTCGGGATCTGTCAGAGCCCGCCGCTGCGTGTCTCTTTTGGTGCGGCTCTAAAAATCCGCACTTTGGCCATGCTTCCCCCCCCTCCGTGTGGCAGGGGCCCAGGGATTTAATCAGTTCACATTTTAGTTTATTATTAGGCAGAAAAATTAAACAAAGGAGGCTGAGCGTTAAGGGCACATTTATGTTATTTGAATTCTGTGTTTATTGAAATCTCCACAGATTTCTCAAGCTGGAGTTGGCAACTCCAATTCTCATCCTATTACTGCCTGTCAACCTCACTGCAGCCTGATTACATCACCAGGTGTTCTAAGTTCTCCAAGATCTTGGATTTCAGCTCTAATAAAATGAATGTTTTGACTACACAAAATAAAATTCAGTTTGTCCAAAGTGGAATTTGAAGCAAGCAAAGCGGTGTTACCCATTTCTAGTAGTGACCCTCTATTCAGACTTGCTTCCCTTTATAGAAAGCATTATAGACCAAGCACAGTAGTGATACCATCTCTGTTCATCCAATGGAAGCATCAACACAGAGAACTCTGACTTGACATGGGACAGGAAACTCTTTTATGAACAAAATATGTCAGTGTCAAATTTGTTACCTTTCATTTTCTATACATAAACTGATGTTACTACCCATTTGTTCTTGACTAATATCATTTCAGAGACTAAAAATAGATTTTCATCTGTGTATTGCGCCCTACCTGATTCAAGCGACTCACATTTCTCAATACTCTGCTTTCTCTGTCCATACAGCTATCAGTAACTCGACAAGGATCTTGCTAAAAAGCTACAGTTCAGCTGCAATCTTTAAACTGCTTACTTCGGTATAAGGCTGCTGAAATCAGTATCACTGCTCCAGAAATTTGTTTGAGAATTACAATTTATCTCCCATTAGGATCTTTTGAAAGTTAAACATTGCTATAGAGTTGCTTGAATCAGACTGAAACCATGGTACTGGGACAGGAAGCTTTACTCTTTTCCTCCTGCTATTTCCCTAATTCAACCCTGCCCCTTGCTGTTTGTCATGCAGAGGAAATCACAGAGGTACCTATTCAGTGCTCATCCACTCCAAGTACACACTGATAATTATTATAATACCTCATTTCTGTTTCAGCATCTTGCAATTAATCTAGAAGACATTGATGGCTACCTAGAAAAAATTCTGAATGAAGAACTTCTAAGATTTGTGTGATTGCTGGTAATGCCGCTGAATCAAGCAACACTAGATGGCTGAAATCAGGGCCAGTTACAGCCGGGGGGCCCTTTCCCCTTTGTCACAGTCCCTTTCTCCTCTTACCACACCTGTTGCAAATGGTCAATGGCCTGCAGTGTCTTGTGTTTTTCCCCCAATAAAGCTTTTTTCTTTTCTGGCTCTCAGACTTTTATTTTTTGGAGGAATTGATCCATGGTGAGGACGGTGCTTAGAATCCTTTGTGTTGCTGAAAGCAAGCAATGTGCTTTCATATGTGTGGAGTTATATTTTTGGATAAAATGGAAGCAAGGAGAACAGTGTAAATCCTCTTTGAGTCCACTTTGGGAAGAAAGGTGGTGTGTAAATGAAGTAAATAAATATCTGTAAAGACCCCTGAGAGGCAGAACAGACAAAGCTATAGTGACTTGCTCAGGATTACAAATGGCGCCCTAGATCAAGGCTGAGTGATGAATTTTTAAAAACCTGACCTCAAAGGTCCATCTCAACACTATCATCATTGAGTGGTTCTCCACTGATCACTCTCCCATCCCAATACAGCACATGCTGTAGGTAAACCAGTGCAAAGGCTGACAGTTACTGGGCAGAATAGTATTTTGCTATGACATGGAGAAGAATGGGATTGGACCAGTGTTCCCTCTAAGCTGAGTTAGTGTGAGCTAGCTTACAGTTTTTTAGCCTCCAGCTCACACATTTTTGTCTTCGCTCAGGAAGAATGGCTCCAGAGCAAAGTGATTTATGCAGGAGCCAAATCGCTCACTCACAACTTTAATGCCAATAGCTCATGAGGTAGAATTTTTGCTCACGAGACTTCACAGCTTGGAGGGAACATTAGATTGGACGCTGCTTGGCTAACACTGACAATGGAAAAACTAGATCTCATAGATCATGTTAGTTCATTAGAATCAAACAGAAGCAATAGAAAATGGCCCAATTAATTTGAACTAACAAAGTCCCAGCCAGCTTTTGAATTTTATTTTAAAACTAACTTTTGTCAGGATTTCAGCAGCAACCTGCAATTAAAAATGACCTCCAAATGCAATCTCAGCCCTTGCTAATCCCAAAAAGTACAATGTGTCAGACAATGTCAGTCTTTTCATGGGCAAATCTTGGAGCTTCACCAGGTAGCACCAACCCACCTCGGGTCTATGTCAGCTTTCCACTATCAGAGGTATAGACAAAGATACCCCAATTTCTTATCTTCACTGTATAGATTGAACCTGCCAGAGCAGTACCCACCATTATAGTCCGAGACAGGGACAGACCTCCTGACCCCTAACTTCATCAGCTGCCCTACCTTACCAACTGCTGCTGCTGGCAGCAATATAATCCACGTAGGTAATGTTTGCAAGTCTCTGACCCTTAGCACACATTTATGTAAAGATACCGCCAGATCATATATTTCTAGCTTTCAGTCTTTTTCACAACACTTTTTTGAACATCTACTTGATTCTAATGGCTTTTACATGTAAAAACATTTGAATTGTAGTTTACATAATTACTGACTCTAGAACAAAAAGGGATAATTCTACAAAGAAGGTTTAAGGAATCATTTTTTTTCTTTAAAACTAGATTACCTTTCCATTCTTCACATATGATGAGCAGAATCTTATAAATGCATGAAGATTCCCCCCGCATTCATTTACTAGGTAGCGGTTTGCCAAATGGGAATCCCACACCCCACCACCATCAATGCATCAGTATAAAAGTGTTTGTTTCTGCCTCTGAGCATGAAATAGGCTTTGCTCACAGAACAGTGTATTTTCTTGGATGGATGGCCCCTTTGATTCACACCATCTTCCACTGAACTCACCCCATCCCTCCCAAAAAGCCCAGAGCCCTGCTCTGGTTTGGCTCTATTTAACTTGCTACAGGAAGACTCAAGGATAGCTGCAGGCACTCGTGCTAGAACTTGATATGGTTGCCAGCCTCCAGGTGGGGCCTGGAGAACTTTCAGTCTTACAACTGCTCTTGTGAAAGGCAAAATGCAGAGACTACTGCTGCCGCCCACCCACCCCCTATTTCCAACCACTTTTGAGCATCCCCCATGTGGCAAAAATAAAGCCAAAAACTTTCCTGCTTTATGTGCTGCTTATGAGACATAATGATTGGAACAAGCAGATGAGCTAAGGCACGAAAAGGACTGGGCCATGTGTGTCCCAGCCTGCAGAAGCAACTGCTTTCTGCACCAGGCAAACTGCAAAGGGAAAGCTGAGGAGGGGGAGGGAGACTTCTCTCATTAGCAAAAGCTGTTTTATAGCCATCTTTCCACCTAGGGTTGCCTGGTCAACTTAACCTGCCAAAAGGGAGTGGGAGGCAGCTTTCTGAGAGCAGGGTAGGTGGGGCGATGACATCTCATGAAAGTGACATCATCACGCTGAGGATGTCACGACAACGCTCTAGCATTTGGGCAAAACCGGGGAGACCGGGAGCGGTGGCGCAGGCAGTAAATGCCTGCAAGTAGACTATCTCCGAACAGCCTTAACAGCTGTTCGAGTCCCACCGTGGCCGGGGTGAACTCCCAGCCCCTGTCCTAGCTCCCGCCCACCCAGCGGCTCGAAAGCCTTTAAAGTGGCAATTAGACAAATGGGTACCCACTCCTTAGGAGTGGGGGGGCCACCCTACCTCCAATACCGGAGGGCAGCAGCGGTGGCCGAGTGATGCGGCGAACAACGAGCGAGCCAGCAGAAAGAACATGGCAACGGATTGGCGGCAAAAATGGCAGGCGACTCGTGGAGGCGTGGTCCGGGCAGCGTGGAGGCACGGTGACGTAAAGCGCAGTCAGAGCCTGCGGGACAGAGACCAGTGCGACTCATCGCGCAGCCACGCGCCACAGAAGGCCATCCCAGGGGAGCCGAGCCGAAGAGAACAGACCTCCGCTGGAAAAAGACACTACCGCTTGGTTCCAGCAAGACCCGCCACAGAAAGAAAAAGACCTACGCTGATTAGGTGCCTGGTAAGGCATCCATCTCCCTTGAAATATATGTGGCCCTAGTTAGAGGATTAAATATATGTGTAAACCGCTCCGAGCCTTCGGGAAGGAGCGGTATAGAAATGGAATGAAATAAAATAAAACTCTATGGTAACCAGAGTTTTCGCCAAAATGCTATAGTGTTGCCATGTGACGACACTAGTGTGATGACATCATTTCTGTGTGATGTCATTGTGTTGGTGACGTTGCCCCACGAGGAGGGTGTTTAGGGGTGAGGCTTCCCCCTCTGGCCAGCTGGCTGGCAGTGGGCCAAAGCCCCCAAAATTGGGGGAACTCCTGCCCAAACTGGAGGTCTGGCAACCCTATTTTTACCCCTCTCTTTTCCAAAGTACTTTTGAATACCCTTCCAGCAAAAATAAAGCCCCCCAAAGTTTTTATCTTATGTGCTTCTGCTGAGGGGAATCAATGGTTTGCTCTAAACCAAAAGACAAAGTTTTTCCTTACCCTGTTTTTTGAAGATTGTATGTCTGTACAAAAGTCAGAAGAGTGTGCAGAAACGGGCCAAGGGTAGCCATCCCAAAGATTTCAAGATGTCAAAACTGGGCTGAAGCCATGTTTCTGAGAGTGGAAGGAAGTCATTCCTTAAGATAATTCACTAGTTGCAAAAGGAGACGAAGTTCCCAAACCCTGCTGATGTATCATATATTGTAATGGAAAGTGTGACCCCATCTGTGGATATCTAAATATGTGCATCAAGTTCAAACAGAAAGAAAACAGATATTATTTGCAAATTTGGGGGACTTCCCAAGCTTGCGGAAAAATCTGAAACTAAACTAAATAAATGGGAGATTAATACCCCCCAGAAAACAAAAACATTGTCTGAGCAAGCAGAGACAACACTCTTACCTCCTCTTCTGTCAGTGGGCCTAGTGGAGGGGAAGCCACAGAGAGTCTGCTCAGAGCCACATCAGGCTCACCACTGAAAGCAGTGATGGTGGGGGGAGTGCCTGGAGTGGGGGGCAGAAAGAGTGATGTGGTGGGGGTCGGGAGAGAAAGAGTGCTGGGGTGGGGAGGCAGAAAGAGTAATAGTGATGGGGTGGGGTGGGGGCAGAAAGAAATAGTTATGGGGTGGGCAGCAAAAGGAGGTGGGGTTAGAAAAAGTGTGGGGGCAGATTGTGTTGGATGAGGGGGCAGAAAGAAAGAGAAATAGTGATGGGGTAGGGGAGACAGTGATGGCAGAAGAGAAAGTGATGAGCTTGGGAGAAGGGGTGGCGGGAGAGAAAGAGTGAGAGACAGAGAAATAGCAGGAGAAGGGAGGAAATGGTAAGGAGAATGGAATGGCTGCTCCTATCTTGCAGGACCCCATATGTTTTAATATATATTCTGATAAGTTCAGACTGCAGAGTAATAGTCTTACTGCTTTTCAAATACTTTGAACACAGATGGATGCCAGTGATCAGTGCTGACTGACAGTACTGTAGGCCACTGAAAAAACTGCTCTGTTGTGAGTTTCTTTTTATGTGTTGTCATGAGCAAAATCTCCTGCTCTCTTCATCAGATTTGTGCACTGTTTCCTCATTTGCACAATCAGATCCTCTAAAAGAGACTAGGTTGGACTACCTCCATGATGATTTAAAAGAAACAGAAAAGTCACACAAAAGATACCTGGGCTGTTCTCTCTGCTGGTGAAATAAATGCATCCCAGAGTGCAGAGGCATCATACTGCTTTATCCTGGCTGAGGAAAGACTGCCACCCACTGCTAAAAGCATTCTGTATGTAAACTGGTATGCATGTAATTTTACCAGTGCGCGCTCTCTCTCTCTCTTTCTGTATAGCATATCTGTGCAGTAATTTCTTTCTTCGTCTGGCAAGTTGGTATTTGAATGATAGTTGTTATGAGCAAAGACATTGCTTTTGGGGCAAGACAGTCATTTGGAAAAAAGTATACAAAAAGCAAAAGAATACCCGGAATGTAGGTTATTATAAGTGTTGGTAGGTCAGCAGGTAATATAAAACACTGTGGAAATCCACCAATGCTGCAGAAAGCTT